ACATGTATAAAATGTACCTGGTGCAAGGCACCGCCGGGATTTGCACGAGGGGCTGAGCTGTTCGCTGCTCAATTTCCTTCCATTCCATGCCTACATGTGCATCTTTGTGCAAAATCGCTGCCGTTCATCAATCAAGGTCGCTGCTCGTGGAGAACACCTACCAAAAAGCCTGATCGTTGAGGAAGCAGCAGCTTCTCCGTAATCTCCCCCCGTTACGACGAAGGGTGTTCTGCAGAGCCCGAGATGCTCTGCCTTCAGTCAAGACACGCGTCTTCCCACACTTCCCAGCAGCTGCCAGTGACCCAGTTTATCTCCTTTCTGCTCGCTGCCTTTTGCTCTTCGGTGCGGGGCTGTGAAACCGTTTCTGCCCGGGCTTGGGAGAGCGGAGCTTTGATCTGCAGATGCGCCAGGAGGAAGGGTCAAGATCTGAAGCGGAATGGACTGGCAGCGAAACAGCCCGTTGGATCACGTTGATCAAATTATGGTCTGCGCTGGAGAATCCTTTTTATTTTTTGGTCCAAAGTACGAGAGAGCTGAGAGCTTTCCTTTGAAGCTGAGGAGATGAGTTCATGCATCGGTGCCTTGAGAAGCGGGAGGGCTCTGCTTTACAGTTCATCTGTACCTTCCCCAAACGCTCAGGCAAACGTTTGCTAACACCTCCCAGCCTGCTTTTCCAGGGTACTGCTCCTCTTCACACCTTTCTGGTTCCACCAGCTCTTCCCTCTCTTCTGGCTGTCGGACCTGCCAGCTGAACGTGCATTACACCAAGTTAATCCTCTTTCTTGTGACCAGGTCGTTGCCTCCTCTCATCATTTGCTCATATCTGTTCTTATTCCAGTTCCTTCTTTTTTCAATGCTTTTCTGCTGTTGAGGGCACTCAGGTTTGAGTATTTTGATTAACTAGGTGCCTTTCAATGAGAAAAGACATGGGAGTATCTAGAGTGTATAGGAATATTTACCGCTTGCTTTGTTTTTCACTCGATTTCTCCGACAGACTCCCACGGCGACGGTTTGAAAGGCCATCCTTGGTGTTGTTTTAATATCAATGGCAAGGATACTCTTGGTCGTCTGAATCAATAGGGTTTACCTTACATAGACAGGTAGAATAATGGGTTTTTTGTTTGCCTTTTTGAAACCGATTCATTCATTCGTAACTTGCTACTGTTTTTTGAAAGGCGCCTTGTGAGGTTGAGCTGCTCAGAGGAGCGAGCGGGTTCCGCAGAGGCTCCTGACACCGTGCCGTGGTTTATTCTGCAGTGAAGGAAGGTAAAACCCCTTAAAAACCATAAAACTTATCTGACACATCTCTGGGCTCCCTATTTGTGATCTCAAGAAGACAGGGTCTACCCTACTCTGCAACTTCACGCTCCCATGGCGTATAGTTTCTTCTACGGGAGCTCTGAGAATAACATCCCCAGCCCTGTCGGAGCAGTGGGTTCTTCGAGGACAATGTGGGACTTGTTTTCGTGCCCACGTGTAGGAGAGCCTGGAGATTTCCCCGGGCTGAGCTGGGGTATCTAACACTGGGATTCAATACTCCTTCGGAGTTTATGTAATGCTGTGCCTATAGGGAAGCCGAGAGGAGAGACCGGGTGCATTTATGGTCCCAGAGAAGAGCGTTTACTCTGGTGTATAATAGCCTTCTGTTGGGTTTTAGTAGCGTATAGTTTAGTAAATTAGGAGTCTTCAGGTACTTAGCACTTTAATGGTTCTCACTAAGAACATAATTAAACCGTAGACCCCTTAGGGAGAAAAAAAACCAGTTTATTGTGCATATTTTTAGAACCTGTTACCAGCCCTCGTAAAACCTGGGAGATAGAAGCCAGAGAACATGCCTTAGCTGGCGACCCAGAATTGGTTCAGCA